AAAAATGACTCATCTCTTAGAAGGTAAAGTCTGGATCTGCAATTAATTTGGGATCAAACTTTGGCTTCAGCTCAGCCCCAAATATGTACCCGATTTGGGTTTAAAATCGGGACAACACCAAACTCTCATCAACTTCTCATGAGATTTCTGCGACACCCACAAGTAAGACAGTCAGCCTAGTTTTGGAGTTCCTGCTTTTAACTCAGAACTAAAGCTGGGGGAGGGACTCTGTTTCTGAAAATTAGAGCATGGCCTTCCAGCCACAGGAAAAGGAAAGTTCTTCAGAAGTGAAACGGTCTTTAGACCTGAACTTTCTGTTTAAGCTAATCTGAGTACTATTAAGTGGGTGCTCAAGTAGATAATGATTAGACAAAGGGCAAAAAATCACATCCTAGTTAAAAGCAGTACTTTCCAATGAATCACCTATATAGTAAACTGTTCTGCCACCTCTGTAGCTCTGTCGCCTGGTTAGTATCGCTGAAAGCTTCTGCTTGCACGTTCGGTAATGAACCAAGGTTTAAAAAAAAAGAAGTCTGTAAACTCAAACTCCTAGTTAAATAATAAAAGTAATCCCAATTGGGATTATTTAGCTAATTTTAGTTTCCCTTTTCCTTCTTTTTCAAATAAACGAAAGAAGCTAGTTTGTGCTATACAGCGTCTGTTGGATTGTACCTCTAAGCAAAACAGCCAAGTTGTGCAAAGGGAGATTATCACCAAGTTTGTAATACTAGCCTTACTGAAAGAGGAGAGCAGTCTGACAATGCTTGCTCAGGAGAAAATACCTGTTATTTCAAATTGAGAATTTAAGCTTCATTTCACAAAAACACATAAGCGTGTGCTCACCTTGTTTTATTCCAGTCCTATTCAGTTTCAGCACTGACTGCACGCTCCTCCCCTATGCGCGAGCCCAAGAGCCTTGCTGAATCAGGCCTCAGAGGCTGGGAAAAATACTACAGTATTTCTGTGATGTGGAGGAAATTCTAGAAGCAACTAAAAATGTGCACATAGAGCAGCACATGCACTTACAAGGCATATAGCAACAAGCATCTGAAAAAGAGGAATTCATTGGAATGACAGGACGTGACAAATTTACCCGATATATGATCAAATGCATTTTTAACATTTCTGTATCTTTTCTCATCTCTTGCATGTTACAGTTTACTGGCAAGATTTGGCCATTCATCAGACAAGTTAGCTGTCAGAGCAGATAAAGTCATGACTCTTATTTCTGTCCCTTTTTTCTCCTTACTTACTATCTACTCTGTTATTATCTCTTTGCTATCCTTTCTACAGCTCCAGTATTATGAAAAAGCTTCACAATTTCAACCATAAGAATAGAAAATAAATTTATATTGACTTTAGCAGGGTTGCTATTGTTCTGATGTGACTTTGTAAGCTACTGTTTCTTTTCTTATTGCAGGTTTGTTTTGTGAATTTAGATGCAAACAGAGATGATTGCAGTGACGAGCAAGTGAAACAGGTAACAGTTTAGGTCTCAATAACATGCACGATAGGTATATTCAAGTGCACCTGGATTTTCCAGTACAAAGCCAGATCTAAACCGTATGGTATATACAGTGCAAGATAAATCAAAGCCAGCTAGATTTTAACTCTTCCGGAGAACAATGAATCAGGAATATGAATTTATCTAAACACCAATCTACAGCTGATAGCTTTTTTTTATTCCTAGTCCAGATAGATACACTTACCAGAACATTGCAGCCTGGAAATTCACGTTGTTTATCTTGCGAGTAGACTTCTTGCTCAGCCTCAGTTTCCTCAGAAATGCAACCATGGATATATCATATATCTAACTACCTAATTTCACATAGCACTACATGAAAAAAAACTGAGCTCTCTCCTTCCTACTGCCCAAAAGCCCTCACCACTACTTCTACTCATTTAAGTCTTACTCAGCTGACCAGTCTTAATGAGTCACATTCCAGGTGGTTTGATTGTGTGGTCATGAGAAGAGACTAGAACAAACAGAGCTAAAGGTGTGCTTCACCTGTGTAACTGAAAGTTTAGAGGGATAGAAATGGGTTTTCTTAAAAAACAAGGTACAAACAGTAAAACAAATTACATCATAGACATGCTATTTAAAATATATACCATTCCAACAAATCCTCACATCTGGGCAGGATGTCGTATTTTAGACATATGGCCCGCTGTCAGTTTCGAGCTTACACCTTCCTTTTTCGGTTCCATTTCCATCATCCTGGCTTGGCGTCTACAACTGCTGTGTAGCTACCAGCAGCAATATGTGGTATATGAACAAAGCGGGGATCTCCTGACAATATTCAGGGAGTTCCTCAGTCAAACATGAAGGTTATTTTGCTGGGAGCACTTTTAATTCATGGGAAGACAGCCAATGGTGGGACCTAGTTGCCTCCTGGAAATCGTTAATTAGCAGGGATTGCTTTTACATGCTATTTTCTACATCCTGGATCTGTGAAAATTCAGATATCAAAAATAATTACCACTTCTTGCAGCAAAATGATTTTTCTGTTGAATCAGCTGGTTGACTGCACAGAACAGATTGAAAGGTTTAACTTTACTGAATCCACAGAAGCATTGGGTCGTTTTCTAGCAATAAATAGTTTTATTGCTTACAGTGCTACACTGTTTTTTATTAAGGAACAAAAGCTATAGCAAGTTGGAAGGACTGAGGAAACATCAAAGGTTTCTTACTTGTAGGTTAGCGCTAAGTATCTATGTAAAAGCCAAGTTAAACTAGCTTTCTGCAGCTCCTCTTTATAATACCAGGAAATTAGATTACTCCCTCACAAGCACAAATCACCTTTGAAAACAGCTGCATGGTTTTTAACCGTCAGCCCTGCAGCAGCGGTGCCTTCAGAGCTCGCGTGCTCTGCGCAGCCGTGAGCTCTTCCTTCAGAGCAGAGCCCCGTCAGCCGCCCGAGCGCTGCACCCGGCCGTGCGCACGGCTGCCTCCCCCTCCCGGGACACCCGCGGGCTGAGCTGCCAGGTTTGGCCCCTTCTTTTTAGAAACACCGTTTCTGGTGCCGAGTCAACACGTTTGTTAGGCATGGCTAGAGGATGATATTTTTCCTTTCGTTTTCAGTGTACAGAATAAAACATTCAATGCTAGCACAGGTACTGTGTGTGTTCTCCTCCCCCCCCCGCCAAGAGGAAAGTCGCCTCATCACAATCTTTGTTTATAATGTACCATACTGGGTTTGTGTATATCAGCTGTGAGTGGTGTCCGTTTTATGCAACACACTGATATGGTGAAAGCATTTCATAAAAGGAATTTAAGGATTTTAGCGGAGCCATTGCTCAAATAACTCGTAGTGGTAAGTACTGTTATTCTCTGCTAGGATTTCACATTACCCTCTGGATCTTGGAACGGGTTAAATTGTTTTTTGAGTGTTAAAGCGTTGTCTTTCTAGACTTCTTTTGTATTCCGAACAAAAGGGAAGGGAGTGAAGTAAAAGATACACAAAATGTCATGATTTCCTACCTAAGAAATCTGCTAAAATGTGGCAATTTAGGCAGTAGAAAATAGAGATAAGTAGAGAAATGTATGTGATAACAGAAAGGTTATAATTTAAAAAAAGAAAAGGATGAGAAGTTTTTTGTGCTATACTAAAATGTCAAACTGAATTGAAGCACTGAATTTAGATGTGTCAAATATAAATACTTAGCCTCAGCTGAAGATCAGTCTACTGAAAAGTGAATTGTTCCCCCAAATTGAATTAGATTTGCAAAGCGAGAAAGTTTTATTATATCTAATTTAATTCACTCTGAGGAAAAATAACAGTACTGCAAGCTTATCATTTTGAAGAGGAAAAGGAAAAAGTGAAGTATCACTGAATTGCACAGTAGCTAAAGCATAGTGTTGGATGTGAGAGGTCTGCACTCCCTTAATGGCTTTGCTATTTCATGTGCTGTGGTCACGTATAAAATGTTGGTGGTATTTAGTCCCTCTGTAAGGATTCATCCTCAGTTCCCTGTTCACAAAGCATGTGAGACCCTTGGCAGAAAAGAATTATGAGCGTTCTTAGAGTAGGCATTGTCCTTTTGGTCTGCCTCTGTACGCTGTTGAGCACAGACATGTCCTGGCACATGACTGGGGACTGCTAGCAGTATCACAATGCAAATATTCTGCGTAACAAAGCATTACTGATGTTATTGCTTGTTTGGCTCTAGCAAATACATAGTAGATAGAGAGGTGTTGTATCATTGCAAATGAAAAGTCATGAAAGTGTCCACTGGAGCATCTGAGAATTGGAAACTCCATCTGTGCGTTAAATTTTTTATTATTCCAGGTTTAGTATTGTATTAATTGGATCAGCAATTTCTAGCTAACTCTCCCTTCAGTTTCTTGCTTATCATATGCCTGGAGGAAAACTAAAAGATATGCCCCATTCTGTCATACTTACTGAATCTTTTCTGTTGTAGAGAACAACAAACGTAGTATACATAGTGAGTCTCTTAGGAACTCATAGTAGGAAGGTCAAGCATTTCGATGCGCTAAGACAGTCAAGTTGTTTAGAACATGACAGCTTAAGGGATGACAGATTGTCCTACTGGAGTATTTATTACACAGAAGTTTATACTGTCACAGTGGTCATTGTCTCATGGTTCAAAAGAAAGAATGTGTATTTTAATGCTGCCAGGTTTTGACGGACTCAAGGTAGTAAGTTTAAGTAAGCTTTTGGAAGTAATGCCTGTAATTATTTTATTGTAATATTTATGAATACAATAGTGCAACTCAGAGATTGTTACCTGAGAGCAAACTGTTGTCTTTCATACTGCAGAGATTGATCGGCGTCTCTCCAAATCTCCCCAAACTTATCAGTTCCATGAACGTACAACCACCAAAGGAAAATGAAATAGTCCTGCTGAGTGGATTAACATCAGGAAATCTTCCGGCTGATTATGAAGTTCCCCAGGTAGGAACCATACACTTATCTTTAGGATCACATCACAGATGTGAAGGAAGGAATCTGCCAACTGAAAAAGGGGAAGCTGAAAGCAAAGACCATATACCAGTTTGAGAACTGGGTGGGTGTTTGCAAACACAAAAAATTAGTCTAGCTGTTCAGAAAGGTCTAAATTAAGCAGGAAGGAGGAACAAAGATAGGCGACAGATTCTCCTATGGACATCTGGGTGGCAGCTGATACTGCTTTAAGTCATATTAACAGTTGATCCTCCAGGGAAGGCAGGCATTGATGGCACAGATGATTCATAAACCCAAATTTCAAGACTAGCAGGAATCAGAAGGGCAGCACAGATGGGGGCAGAAGGAAAGATGTAATACTTTTTATATACACAGGGCTGGATTAGGGCACAGCTCCTACAGACTCCCTTTTAAGTAAAGTCTTGCTGCTTCCCACTTTCGTTTCCAATCCATCTTCTCCCACGCAAGCACCTCAGAAAAGAACTGACGATAGGACTTGAAGATCCTGGAGGCTACCTTAAGGCTGACTGTGCCAATGGAAAATACCAAGATGTATTAACCATATCAGAGCTGATACCTCATTTAGCTTCTGTGCAACTTAAAATGTAATTAATACATTAATTAAAATGTATTGTTGTTAAGGAGTTAAAGGCAGATTTCTCATGCTAACCCCTTCACTCCTGTTACTGCCTATGAAATAGTCCATATCTGTGATTTGTAGGCCAAGAATTCCTGCTACTAGCATCACAGAGAGAAAGGAAATAAATGAAACCATTTGCCTAAAGGCATTTTAATACACAAGTTCCAGAAGCCTAACTACTTATTATGACCAAACCCTTTTTCTTTCTTTACATTTTTATCATATGTTATGCCTTTCTGTTCATTTCTGTGCCAAGAAGAATGAATGAATATATCTTAGTAATTTAGGCCTAATTCTGATTCTCATCTCATTTATCCAGACATGAACTTCACTAAAACTGCAGAGTTGTCCTGGAGTAAAAAACTGAGACATTCTCAGCAAGCTTAAAAACATGAACAGGTATCTCCAGTTCCATCTGCTGCAGAAAACAGCAGAAAACTTCTTTCCATTGAAATGAACTTGTGCACATAAATCTTCATGAAATAGGCCCCATAACAGCTATATGGCAAACATCATTGAATTTGGTGTTATACCAATGTGCTGCTCTGTAAAGAGAGAAATTGTCTGGTTATTGAGCTTCCTTGCCGCTCGTGACTAATGGCTGAATTTAGAAAGATTTAAAAAAAAGTAACACACAAACCTGTGGTGGGAGCAGTGGGATTCCAGAAATACCAGGAAGCCCCTGCGGTACGCACAAGGCTGTTTTGAGGCCTAAACAAGTGAATAGTTGCCCACATCTCTGAAAGACTGTGGCCATTATGACTGGCAGTCTTCACAGAAAGGGTGCAAATGAGATACAAATGAGAACTCTCCCGGACTTCCCGCTTGCAAGACAGCTGGAGCTTCTGCACTGAGACCGAGCGAGGTTTGTGGGCTAGTGCTGTGTTTGTGCATACTTTTTTGGCTTGCCAGAGAACTGCATTCGTCAGAAGTGTCACTCTTTTTGCCTAGGTTTGGGTACTTCTGTTATTTGAATTTTTTTTTCCCTGCTGCCCATTTTCACAGGTACAACCCTGCAAACTGCGGACTGGGGAAACTGCAGTTTCATTTAAGACTATATCTATTTATTTAGTAATATTTTTCACAGCACAATGAACGCTCAAGTCTGATTCAGCAACAGCTCCTTAGCAGCTGGTTCAAAAATCTGTCTTTTGTGCTTTACTTCTAACAGTCTATCTGGTTTTCTGTTCGGAGATGATTTATAGTTGGAAAGGAAGAGTGAGCTAATAAAACATGTTATTCCAGTGTAACACTCATCCCACTCTATTATTACGAGATGTGCCTTGCATTCCCACCCAAAGGCAAAGAGCTGGCCTGGGGTTACGTTATGCTGGGTACTGTGCAAATGCACAGCTTATTTCTGCACAGCTTAAAATCCAGCACCTCGATCGAGAGTTGGTTCCACTGAAAGCTGGCTCCGTCCTGTGAGTCTCAAGTTAAAGCACAAGCTGCAGAGGTTTGGCTTTGCTTCAGAGTACACCCACAAACGTAGTTGCGTGCAGAGATCCTCACTTAGCTCTGGGGTTGTGTAAACATCCAAAGGCTTTAATAGCAGTAAAATGAGGATAAGAATTCCTTTCTTTCAGTTCCTGTCCAACTTTCTACTTTACTGGACCACTTCTCTGGTACGTTCTGGATGTAAATGCTCAGCCCCAGTTTCAATTGGGGGTTACACTTGTCTGAAATAACGAGGCTTTGCACGGATACAGGAATTTTAAAATACAGTATTTTAAAATGGTCTGTCAGAACAACTGAAGGTGACTTGTTCTTAACAACCTCAACAGCCACTATTTACAAGGCTGCCTTCAAACAAGCGTTGCGGCACAAGTTATCCCAAAGAGGAATGTAGGCCCACAAACTACTCCCTCAGTGCACAGGTAGCACTGGATGGTGAAAGGGCCTTAATAACAGCGTGTGGGATAGCTAAACCTGACGTAGCTAAAGGCAAATAAGGCTCTGTCATTTAAACAAGTTGACTAAAAACAAACAACTGGATAACTTTAACAAAATAAAGATACCCTTGTGATACAACAGAGTTCTGTACTAAAATGCTCGTATAACAGAAGATGTCATTCCATATGGTCTTATTTCAGCACATATGTAACTGCACACTGTGTTACAAACAGCTAAATGACAAATTGTATTGCATCCTTGCAATAGAACATTCCTGAGGTATTTATAGAGAGGGAGGCTTAAAATAAGTTTTATTTTTTAATTAAATAACTCTCTGAGATTCTTTTCCCCTCTAGTGTCCTTGGCTGGCAGATGTCTGCTTGGTTCAGTGTGCAAGGGGGGACAGGAAAAACAGCACAAGCTGCATCATCTTTGAAATAAACAAGTTTCTGATTGGACTTGAGCTTGTGCAGGAGAGACAGCTGCAGATAGAAGCTAATGTCTTAAAGCCCGAGGATGATACAAACTGTTCAGTGTCCTCAATAGAAGAAGATTTCCTCACAGCATCTGAGCACCTCGAAGATGAAAACGAGGCTGATGAATATAAAACCGGTAAAAGCAGTGAGACTGAGCATAATTCTGCCATTGTTCGTACTGCAGAACAGCCATGGCAGTGCTTCACATAAATTGCACTTGATGTTAATGCATGCATATATTTAATTCTAATTTAGAAAACGTATAAGGATTCATATTTTTAAATTGTTGCTCAAAGCCAAGGATACATGGCTGTGCAGTAGTTCTACAGAGCTACGCAGTTATGCAGCCATTTTCTTTTCAAAGTTACAGGATGCTTTGCAAAGACTAATGTCTAATTTTTTTTTAATAGGTCATGAAAAATTAAGCCTTTCTGAACTTTCTTCAGATCTCAAAAAAAATAAAGGAAAGGGATTTGAAAATCCCCACTACAGAAGAGCCAGGTTGCCATTTGTTCTTGATGGGAACTGCATTAATAAAGATAACACAGCTACTAGGGTCTCTGAAGCTGTGAATGTTGTGGCTGAAGACAGCAGCTTACAACTTGAAGATAAGTCAGCCCAGGAAATACCCTGGCAGAAGGAATTAGCTGGAAGAGCTACATCATCCCTCAGTACTAATGATTTGCCTGGCAAGGTCGGAAATTCCTGCTCAGTGCATGTGTTAGAAGATGTATCTTTAACCGAAATGGCTAAAGAAGAACTGGGGCCTCTGTATGACCCAAAAGCAAAACACGACAGTAACACAGATGTGGAGAATGGTACAGGTATTAGGAAAGCTGATCTGCCCTTGCAAAACGAGCAAGCGACAACAGGTCAGTATGCCACAAATTTAGCAGAATCTGTTCTGCAAGATGCATTTATTAGACTGTCACAGTCTCAACCCGCTTTCACTGACGAGGCTGCTGTTAGCATCTCCGTTGGAAGCTCCTGTAAGACAGAAGATACAACAGCTTCCCGATCGTGGAATGAACTTCCGAAGATCGTCATAGTGCAAAGTCCAGATAGCTGTGAGAATGTATCAGAATGGCCAGGATCTGCGTTCCCAAATCTGTGCCACTGGACTGAATCAGAAAGTTCTGCTGAAGTTTCAGACTACTTTGAGGAGGAACATTCAAACGAACACCCCCAGAGCGCATTGGAAGTGGCTCTAGCCTGTGCAGCCACAGTTATTGGAACCATTTCAAGTCCCCAAGCTGCAGAGAAATTCAGAAGAGATCAAGAAGCCACAGACTCTAAAAGCAGAGCAGTTGATAACGAAGTGCTACAGACAGCGTCTTCACAGGTACTTGATGACTGTGCTGGCACAGAATATTCATTTCCATCTGCACTGTGTGGCATGACTCAAGTAGCAAGTGCTGTAGCAGTCTGTGGTCTGGGGGAAACAAAGGAAGAAAAGTACCCTGCAACTTCAAGTGGACTTCTGTCTGCTGCTCAGACTTCTGCAGCTATTAGTCTTCGCTGTAGCATAGCTATAGGAAGCAGCATGGAGAAGTTGAATGATAGCATTGCGGAGGCACTTCTCAAAGAGGCATCAGTAATTTTGACAAAGCCCAATACATACAAAAACGTAGGGCATTTTATGGAGTCCATAAATGGAAGAATCATTGAAACAGCAGCAAGGCCACGGATTCCACATTCTGATGAAGTTATCAGGGATGAACTTGCACAAAACTTATCCAACATTATTCTACGACATTCTGTAGAAGAGGTTAGGAAGAAGAGACAGTTACACCCCCATTCAGAAAACGGCTCAAGTACACAAGACATTTTCATGGAGACTGCAAATGAGTTGCTTTTTAATGTGATATATTTCACTTGCAAGAAGATGAATGATATAAGACATGCTGATGAGTGTTCCCCTTTCCTCTCTGAGGGCGCAAAAGCAGAGAAAGTAACAATAGGAGAAGGATGGTCAACACAGGCAACACCACATGAAACATCATGCAGACCCCTTGATCACTCTGCTAGGAAGCCAATGCATACCTCTGACAGTGCAAGTGCTAGCGAAGATCTTGCAAATGTCACAAGCACTAGCAGAAGTAATATGAGAGATGTAAATAGCAGGGAAAGCGTCCCACTGTATTCAGGACCAACAAGTAGAGCTACTGGGCATAATGCACTTGTTGCAAAAACATCTCCCAAGAAGAGATATTTGAAAAGAACCACACGAGACTGTTACAAATCTCCAAATCAGAGTAACAGTCAAAAGAAGAAAGACTACAGATCGTTTTCAGACAGAGAAAATGCCTTTACAGACAATGAATGCAAGCACGGCGTCCAAGAACGACTGTCTTCTGATGCCGCTGTAAATGCGGGAAACCAGGCCAAGCATAAGCATGATGCTGTGCTAAATAATGATGTCCAAGTTAGCTTGTCTTTATTAGGAAACCATGTCTTGCTTCCTTCTCAGCCTGTGCTACAGGTAAAACATTCAAGGGACAAATATTGTATAACAGATTTTGCAGAAGAATTGGCAGAAACAGTGGTCTCTATGGCAACAGAAATAGCTGCCATTTGTCTTGAAAACTCAAATGGAAAGCAACCCTGGTTCTGTGCATGGAAAAGAGGCAATGAATATCTGGTCACCCAGAGTTTATCATGCCGAACCATAAAAAGGAAAAAGGAAACCCAGACTAATGGTTCGGTTGTTCGGAAGCACAGGGCACCTAGACTTAGCGAGATCAAAAGGAAAACAGATGAGCATCCTGAGCTAAAAGAAAGACTGATGAATCGGGTAGTGGATGAATCTATAAACCTTGAGGATACACCAGATTCTGTCAGTGTCTTTGCAAATGAAGTGGCTGCCAAGATCATGAACCTCACCGAACTCTCTGTGGTTGATAGCATCTGGCAAGGTCCAAACCATCCCAGGAGCAGGCTGCACTGTGAAAGATGGAGCCGAGGCAAGGCATCGAGTTGCGAGAGCATACCAGAGGAAGATGCGGATTCCAAAGGCTCTCTCCATACCCTAGGCCTGATGAACGCTCTTGGTCAGCCTGTGAGCCAGACAAGTTCTGTCTCTAAGCAGTCTAGCTGTGAAAGCATTACAGATGAATTTTCAAGATTTATGGTGAACCAGATGGAAAATGAAGGAAGAGGCTTTGATTTGTTACTGGATTACTATGCAGGAAAAAATGCAAACAACATCTTAACTTCTGCTTTGCAACAGGTAGCCAAGAAGAATAGTCATCTTAATGTAAAACCAAGTTGCCCATCCAAACAGTCCAGCACAGAAAGCATAACAGAAGAATTTTATAGGTATATGCTGAGAGAAATAGAAAAGGAAAACAAAGATAATGCCTCTTCCCCTCGGAATTCAAAGGACTGGTGTGGCAGTTTGCTGCCACCCTCTCTACGAACACCTTTCTGTTTTAGGCAGTCCTCCATGCCTGACAGCAGGTCATCATGCTCTAGACTAACAGTAAATACCCCAGTTAAAGCAAACTCATTAGATGGATTTGCCCGCCATCACCAGGATTCCTTAAGCGTACAGCCAGTCAGTACCGTGGCTTCTTCAGGTCTTTGCAAGTCTGACTCATGCCTGTACCAAAGATGCAAGACTGACCAAATAACAGATATGCTGATTCATGAGACATGGGCAAACTCTATTGAATCGCTAATGCGTAAAAACAAAATTATAGCAGATGAGGCAGAGGTTGCAGAGGCAGATCAGTTTCACAGTGATTCTCCACCACACGTGGAACAATACGCAAACAGACTGGCTGCAAATATCGTGGAAAGTGGTAAAAATTTCATTGTTGTCCAGCAGGATTCCTTTGATCACATGAGCCGAGAACCTGTGCTGGAAAGCAAGCATCGCCAGAGCGCAGCTCAGATTCAATCAAAACCCAAAGGGGAGGGAGTAAGTTTGAGTGAGAAAAAAGAGCTTATTAAGAGCCCTGGATCCCTCCCTGCAAGTCAGCACCGGGAAGTGCCATTAATTCAAATAGAAACTGATCAGCGAGATGAGCCAGAAGAGGCCTTAACTTCATGTGGCCCTTCTGAAAAGGAGCATCTAAGCAAAGAAAAGCCTCCAGAAGCACATGCTGGGAAGCACGCGGTTTCCAGTTCCCTACTAAATAGGTAAGTGACCAAAAAAATAAATAAATCAGCACATTGCTTTAGGTGTTTGTTTTAACTTCCCAGTAAAAAATACTTTGATGAAGGAAGAAAATAAGGCGATAACCACTTTTTGAGAAACAATCAGGTAAGTTCTCACTACAGGTTTCTAATGGCATAAAATCACTGAGTCATATATTGCAGTACTGATTTCTGGGGTGAACTTGTATTGAACATGACAATATGATGGTTCTGAGGTCCAAGTCTAATACCACACAGATGAGTAAATTTTACCTTATAGATGTTTGTCCTCCACAGTCAAGACAGGAGAGACCAACAAAGTTTGGTCTTTCTAGCCTCATTTGTACTGCTCTCCAGACTCTCATAGATGGCATCATCTATGTCCACTGCTTTTCAAATTATTGATAGGTGTCTCCAAGTCCAACTGAGGAAGCTGTGCATCAGAAAAAAATCTCACTAACTCACTTGCAGCCACATTGCCCTCTAAAGATTAGTGCTGGTTCTACCAAGCATCATCTATAGGCATGGGTGGATGCAACTAGCTAGTATCTCAATTTTAAAAAAGAATCAGTTTTATTGTAAAAGAGAAAATAGCCTGCTATTCCTTCTCCTTTCCTGTCTTTAGCTCTCTACTATGCTTATTCATGCACTTAGGTACCTGGAAAGCAGACCAGGCTTCTTACAGCTTGAAGTTCTGCTTTGTATTTACAGTCTGGAACAGAAAGTAAATTTTTTTTTCTACTAAAGAATTTTTATTAGTTTCTAACACTAGTTTCTAACATTAAAAACACCCCTCACCTCCTTTGGTTCCAGACTGCTCTGGCAGAATTTAGATAGAAAAAAGAATAAAATTTCATTTCATAGAGTTTATGCCACAGTCTACCACCTTCTCCTTGTAGCTGCTTCTTTTGTTGAGGAAGCTGCAGCTTATTTTGGTTAAGGCAAAATGAAAGCCCTGCTGCATTACAGTGGATTGCAAACGTAGAAGATTGCTATGGATGTTAAGAGCAGTACTTTCCTTCAAGGCATTCCTATTTTTAACTATGCTTCTTAATCGTATCTCTTACTTTAATGGTATCTAAACTGCCAATCACTTGGAGCATTGCAGCACACCGTTATCTCAAGAGTGCTTGCAAGACTGCAGGTGCTAGTGTTAGAACCTGTTTTGTAGCTCTTTTTTTTTTTATACAGTGCTGTGTTTTGGCTTTTGACAATGCTCTGCTTGAAGTGAGAAAGCATGTACTTCCCTGTGTATGGTAGCAATTAGGTGGATAATTAGCATAGTGCCTCTATTATTTCATGCAGACTCTCCCCCACTAACCTTCCTCTTCCTTCACGTGCAACCTGCTTTTAATAAGATGCATTTAGAAATCTGCTTGTTTGGAATCTTGACTGTTTGAAAATAAAGTTATTTTCTGCACAGCTTATGAACACTTCAAGTAACAGCGTTTCCTCTGCCTTTGATGTAGAGTTGGTGAAGTGGCTTTTGGAAATTTAAAGTAATAGTACTGGTAGATCAGAATTAGCACCTCGAGGCTACAGCGACGTTAGCTCCTTGGTTTGATGATGCAGGGCAGTTCTGAATCAGCTTGTCCCCGTTTCCATGCCTTGGTTCTGTTTGCGGAGCGCAAAGTAGATTCCTTTGGGAACAAGCTAAACCAGAACGCCGTGCTCCATGCATGCGCTGAGCAGGCTCTCACCCTCACGGGAAGACAAACTTTCCACTGGTTCTTCTGGTCAATTTGAACCACCTGCAGTATGGACGTTTGGATCAAGCCTAGGCAGAAGTAAAACCCCGTGTATAATGTAGATATAAAAACATCAGCACCAATTGCTTTGATCTACTGATTTGCTCCTACCACATGAAATTATTTGTTAGTGTAGATACAAGCAGACGGGTCTCCAGGCAAAATACCAAGCAGGTATGTGCTCATTATCAAAAAATGAAAGCCATGCACGCCTGAGGAAAAGGTCTTCAGTGAGGAAAAAAGACTCGTTTCATTTATGTCGGCAGTGCATCAGACCCAGTCCGGTCACAGATTCACAGAAAACGTTCCAGCAGCCTGTTTGAAGTAGGGAACTGCCAGCCTGAAGTATTTCTATTGTGACATGTAAACAAAACCCAAAATGCAAAGTAAGAAAACCCCCCAAACTCTCATATGTTTTGGACTAAGTATTAGGTGCTACCTGCCCTGTATTAAAAAGCATTTTGATAACATTCCCTCGTACCTGGTTTCATAGCGGGTTTACGTTAGTTAGGATGATGAGTTTTGTGCCCGAGAGGTGAGGGAAGGGGCGTTTGGTTGTTTGATGGCTGTTAACTGCCTGGTAGATCAGAGGCCCTCAGGCAAATAAGTACCTTTTCTCTCTGTACTCCAGTGTTACTGCAGCAACTTCTCAGGAGCTGTCCTGAGAGTTAGAGCATGGCAAAAGGAGATATCCACAATGATGTGGTTTCAGTATGCTCTTAATCAAGTTAATTATTTGAGAGCCATGGAATTACTGGGGTTCTAACTGAAGACAGGGCTCCTCAGCCGTAAATGCAGGTAAAAGTCTAGAGAAGTTACAGCCTTCACATGGACACCGGTTGCCAGTAAACTCTGTTTTTGATCACAAAGTTGCAAATGCAAACCATCCAGTAAATATAACACAACTGTAGTTGTACTTTAGCTCTTACTTGGTTGCTGCAGTGGTATAATTACTTTTTTCTTATTGTCCAATTAAGTTTTTTCTTTTTTTCTTATATTCTTTTCTGCCTGCATATCAGAATTCCCTTGGTAAGCCTTGCACAGTCCAGTTTGGCTCTGAAAAGTTATTGTAAACATAGTTTTTGTTATAAATATAACAAAACATAAAATGCTCTATCTGAACGTAGTTGAAAGAGAGAGAGAGAGAGAGAGAGAGAGAGAGAGAGACATACATATGTCAAGCGTGCAGAATTACAAAAGTTTATTTTTCCCCCTCATATTGGGAAACTGCCTCCAAAGGTAGTCTGGGCTGCAGGTTTGGGTTCATACCTGCCAATAAAAAACCATTTTGTCCATCGCTAACCTAAGCAGCACAGCTTTCCTTTTCAAGAAAGCTACCAAGAAGCACAGAAAGCTAAAATTCATTAGTGATTCACAGCCCACAACACTTTCCTGATTTTACTTCCAAACTTCTTTTGGACCTGCAGCACTAACAGCGTAGAAGTGCTGGAAGCTTGTTTATGGGAGAGAGGGACCCACATAAGGATATATGCATGCGGGAGCCTGTAAAAGTCCGGGCGGGCGGGCGGGGGGAAGGCTCCGTCCGCAGCGCTTCAGCAGACTTTACCTTTACTTTCTGTTACATTATTTGCTTTCAAACTCTGCAGCTGGGTGCAAATAAGAGAGTGAGGATGTTTAAGTGTGTTTATTTAAATAGTCAATGAGATACCTGCTGGTCTTGAATGATGAACGGTAATTTTTTTTTTTAACTTGCTGACTTCCTATAAAAGGCTTCAGTGTTGTCATAAAGGCCTAATGTTGTAGATTTTTTCCTATATTGTTTTAAAATAGCTCAGTTTTGTTTAAAATGTACTAAGTTTTCTGAGTGTTTCTGCTGTATTTAAATGAAGCAAAATGTATTTTAAGCAATTCAGGGAGACATACACAAACAGAAATAAAAAAGACCTTTGGAAAGTGGCTTTACCAGTGAAAGCCCTGTGCGAAAAGTTGGTATTCTTCATGTCAGATGGAGGTAGGGATGTGGACATAGTTATCACACTAGAAGGCACTCGGTCTCCAGTCAGAGATCCTGCAGATCTCAGATGAGATGAAATGGGATCCATCTATTTGCCATCATTTCACTTCTAAATATGTTAATACTGTCTTCTTCTGCTCACATACTCTACTTCATTGTAAAAATTGATTTGCTTAAATACGTATTTTGCATTTCTACTTCTTGATTAATACATTTTTAAATTGTACTCTTTGAAATTTAACACTACTGTTATATACCATGAGTTGGAAAAAAAAAAAATCTGAAAATACTGATAAAAAAATGTTTGTACAGAACTGAAAGTACAAAACGCTGTGTCACTCAAGTGCTAAAGATTATTGCTGGCATTAGAAGAGCCAGGCAAGGAGTAATGCATGTTTTAGACTTTATCCTTTATTAGCTCCCCTATTTAGAAAATGGAGAAAATGTTCATGTATGTGCAAGTATTAGGTACATTATAATGCACCTAATAATAATTAGGTGTATTATTAATGTAATCATTAATGAGTGGTCAAATAGAAGTAAAAGATCCTAAGAAGGGAGGAGGAAGCCTTGGCAAGGAACTTACCCGTTAGTAGGACAGGAGTGGAGTGCCCGGGTACAGCTCCAAGAAGTGCTGTTAATCTGCGCTAGCATATACCAGCCACTTCAACCACTGATTGACCAAACTTCTTTAAGGAATAGGCCTATGCGTGAGCGCTTCTTTTTGCATATGTGAAACCTTGTACAAGTTAAACCTTTTCTATTCATATTTCAGTATATGGCTAATTTTGTTTTGTGTTTATGTATAGCAGCCATAAGACGACCATTTTTAAAGGGAATCCTGACCACATCTAAAGGGAATCCTGACCACATCAGGTCTTTGCATATGAATTATAAGCTTATCCAAGCTCTTGCTACCGTATTATTTTGCAGCTTGGATGACTTTAATGAGCAGTATTTCCTGAAGATTGGTGGCGCTAGTTGTTTGTATTTTTTATTTACAATATCAATATGCCTTCCTTATCACCCTACCAGCAGCAGTACTCAGAGCAGACCAGATGCTGAAATCGTAGCAGAGGCAAAAACAGCTGAAGAATTTCCAACCCATCTCAGCAGCAGTGAGGAAAGCACTGGCAGCTGGTCCCAGCTAGCTAACGACGAGGACAATCCTGATGACACAAGTAGCTACCTGCAACTCAGCGAGAGATCCCTGAGGTACCCATGTTCTGTCTGTGGTCAACATACAGTGTGATCTAATCGATCGAGCCAGTGATTTGATTACAGTGCATTGGGAACGCGGGGCAGTGGCTCAAGGTATATTCAGAACACTGCAGACAGCTTAGCTACAGTGTCCGTCTCTTCCTTTTTCAAAATAGCAAGCCACGTTCTGGTTCTCAGCCAGGGCTTTGTGTTGGTGAGCGGCTAGAGTCAAAGAAAATCTTCTGCACAATAAGCAAGTACCTCACAGCCCTACTCTGAAAGGGCCATCAGACAAGCTAGTTGCTGCGACCTTTAATTTGCTTCATTTGTTACCATTTGCATAGCGCTTATTTTGGCATTTTCTTAGCCGAGACTGGCGAGACTGCTGTTCCCCACAGGGACCAGTGCAGTGAGAGCAGGGGCAGAGCCCTGTTCTGCTCGTACTAGCTCGGGGAGCGGGTCGACAGAGGGTGGCAGGGTTCTCCCTGAGCTGGCATAAACGCCACTGCTCGCATTGCAGTATTCTGCTTTTTGTCGCTACTAAGTCAGGCCATGCGTTTAAAGATGTCATCTAGTCCTTAGAGCTTATATGAGGTGATGCTAGCTTGACCGTAGCCCTTTCACCACTTTACATTGAGCAAGATTTTTACTTCATATGCCCTTAGATTAGTTTTTTTTAAATGTAGCTAATTGATTATGTCATTCTCTTGGGTATTCTGAAGACAAGGAGGGAGGAAGTACGATAATGAAGCAGAGAAGGAAAGAGCCTCTGCATGTCAGAGACTACCATTGGCTAGCTTAAAAAACAGTGAAAGAAACTTGTCTGTCCGTGTGGGTGAATGTTCATCCCATTATGCGCAGCGTCAGCCTTTAACAGACTCAGTCTGGGGGAGCTCATGTATTGTGCCTTTTGGCTCTGCATTGAAACAGAAATTGATACAGCAAGTCTGAACGCGTAGCATACTGACACTGACTCCGAAAAGCCTGATGAAGAAAGGAACTGTCTAGTCAATACTCTGATGTGAGGAAAAATACTATTAATTGCTTTTTTAGTAAAAATTAAGTGGTTCAAATTTAATTACCACGCAGAATTTGTTGGTGCTAATCAACTTGTAGCTAGTAAATTCATAACCTGTTTATCAGACTATTATGAAATCCACATAAACATTCACTGTCTAGTTCGTGGCGGTGTTACAAGGTGAGCTAGTACTATTCTTTGCAAATATTCTCAGGTGCAACACTTCATTCTAGTGAAGTAGCCAAAAAGAACACTTCTGCATATTACTGGGTCACTATTAAAAAAATTTAATTGAAATCTCAGTATTTCAGAGTAGCAGAAATGTAAGGGACCATCCCTGTACCTGTGGGTTCCATCAGATCTCTGACAGTATTTGGGGGTATGATGTCATATGCTGCAACTGCTCCTGGTTACAGGCCTGAGGTAAGTATACGATGGGGCAATCAAATACCTTGATATAGTTCACCACGTTCAGAGGTATCTGAATCTCTGCAGGTTTTTCCAGGACATCTCTATGCTTGACAGTCTTTCTTTCCAAGGACGCATGCAGATTGTTTCTCTGTTGGAAGCCAAACGTTCACTGGATAAGCTATTCACAAGAACAGAGTCCACTGTTTTTTATAGTTCATAGCATCACTTGATACATGATCCATCTAGATCTACTTCAAGAAAAGCCTCGTTATTTTGCACAGATTAGTATCCTTCATCCTGGGAACCACTTGTTGAACACACATGGTTCTGTGGAACTTTGCATACTGGGGGCACCCCCCTCACTTTGCTTTGTACGTAAATAAGAAGATATGTACGGAGACATGTTGGGTGCAGCTTGGCACTAATATTTAAACTTTTGCTTTGTCAGCAATGGCAACAGCAGTACAACTAGCAGTCTTGGCATTATGGACCTGGAAATTTATCAGGAGAACATGCCATCTTCTCCTATGATTAAGTAAGTAGTCACTGAAGTGAGATTTGATGTTTAGTCTAATTTTAACTGCAAATCATTTATGCCATCTAAAATGTGCCAAGCCCTGCTTTGCACCTGCTGCTTAGCCTGCCATCAGTTTCAGAAAAATAAATCCACGTGCAGGTGTCTGTGCAGAGTGACAGCACTGCAGAGTGAAAGACTATGGGAAAGCCCAACCAGGTGGGCCTCTCAGGAGAATATGGATCCACCAACTGCTTTGCCCAAAAGACAGTTTGCTGAACTATCCATTTCCCACTCTCTGAGCTTTTTTTCCTCTAAATAACTTCAAACATCACTGAAACATAACTGTAATAGCAAGTAAGATCAAGCAAAGAAAGATCAATTAATTTAAGGTATAGGAAAAAAAGAGTGATAACATTTTTTTCAAGAAGGAAAATTTGGCCCGAGGTACTTCTTATCTGTTGTTTCTGGGCATGCTTCTACCAAGCATGCTCAATACCAATAAAACTATCAAGAGACGTGCAAGTACCTGCGTAAAGATTCTGGTACCCTGAAACATGGTATAACCTGCCAGCTGCTAAATGGTAAACCAACTGAGGCAGTCAGGGCATGGCTACTGCAGACGCGTATGTATTGTACATCACGCAGAGAAAATGAGAACCTTGTGAAGTCAGTGACAGCAGAAAATCTTCACACCAGACTATACTATAACAACAAACCATTCTCCGTTCCAAAAAGCTCTTTTTTTGTAAGTAATTTGGGCATCCATGTTTCTGTAGAGTTACATGCACTCTCTTTCAGCTGTTGATTAGGACCCTAACCTCGTTAAAAGATTCCCGTCTTCACAGTAGGCACTGCTAGCTCCTACGCACATTCCTAAAGATGTCCCCTCCTTTCTTATTTTTCCAAAGACAAAGGGACTAAGTTTTTGATTCCTAGTGCGCTGCCAGTGGGTGTTCTCTGGTGACAGCCAATAGGCTGGCGATCCTGGAAGGACAGATGTTGTGGAAGGCAAGAACACCACTCGGGTGCAGTTTGTTCTTCCAGAAATCAAAGTAAAGGGACAGAATACTTCTGCTGTTCAAACAGAAAACTGGGGAAAAAAAAGGATGTGAAGGATGTTATTAGCACCGATGTTTCTAAGTCATGACAAATCATACATTGCATGCTGCCATTTTAATCTTTCCTCTCACATCTGGCAGCAACCACTACAAAAGTATATATAATCTTGATCCTTTGAAACCTTGGGGGAGATTCTGAAATCCTTTGAAGAAGGGTGGTAAGAGCAGTGTCCTCCCGTCCTAGAAACGTAATCTGGCACTTCCACTGTTCCTCTTGATTGAGGACAGAATGGGACAGTCTGCAAATGTGTATTTTAAGTGCTGTCCCCTACAGGAGTGATGAAAGGAATGAAATAGCTATGTTATCACCACCAAATTTGCAGTCTTCTGCTACATGTACATGAGTCTTCAGATATAGTCTTCAGAAAGGGAAGATAAAGCAGTGACTACATATCTGGAGTTTGTTTCCTGTAGTTCAACAAGAAGAATGATAGTACATAGGAAATGAAGATCATCTGAACTTTTTGCAAACGGTAAACAGAATTTATTTATCCAAACAGCTAATAAATATATTTAAAATCAGCAGTAGCTGAAGTCATTGCTAGTTATAACTGTGTTCAACTATGAGAGAGAAAATTAGAAAGCAAGACTGAAAAAAATGAAGCCAAGGACTATAACGTTGCAAAATACACACCTTGGAAATTCAGTGCTTCCCCCTTGGTTATGGTAAGACACAGCAAGTCATGCTATGTCATTTGCTTTATCATTATATAAACTGTAAAGATACACACATCCTAATGAAGCGTTAATACACAGTGCATGCAGTATAAGCAGTTCATCCTATTGTGGGAGTAACACTGTGCAGTTCCCAAGGCTTTTCCTGATTGACAGATGAAATTATTGTAATATATTCAGCATTTTACTGTTTCATCCTATGTAAATTTTTTCTTGCAGTTTTCTAGGTGAAAAGTCTTGCATTGGGGGAGAAGTTTATCCATCACGAAGCAATGTTGTAGACTGTTCCTAAGTATCACTAATAAGCTTTGTTGTTGTTTGTTTCTAAGTGAATTAGTAGAAGAAAAGGTTTTCCTTAAAGAACAGACAGAAAATATAGAGGGTAAGTTGAACCATATCAATTATAGATTAGAATTTGAAGCTAAAATAAGCAAGTACATAGTAACTGTTGTTTTGTTTTGTTTTTTTTTTTCCCCAGAAAGTACTTCTGGGCTCTCAGTGGGAACAGCCAATTGTCAGAAGGACCTACTAGTGATAAACTTTGATCTGGAACCGGAACGCCCTGATGCAGAGCTGCGAGCCACTCTTCAGTGGATAGCTGCTTCTGAGCTTGGAATTCCAACCATCTATTTTAAGAAGTCTCAGGAAAACAGAATTGAAAAGGTAGTATCTACAGGATTGCACATACTATTAAATCATTTAAGGCATCGTAGCAGTTGTGATTGGATTGAAGTTACTGAATTTTAAAATGCAGATGCAAAAAAACCCAAAGATCTTGATTACAGAAGATGGCAATGCAACTGTTAATTAGACAGGGAGAGGAGAGGATTAAATACCTCAGAGTTTAAGGCACATGAAAGAAGATTTTTAGTGGTAGAGCAAAAAAAAAGAAAAAGGTATGACCATCTAAAATGAGACCTTCTTCAAAATCAGTCTTACATGCTTTAATGAATCAGAGTTCCCTTTCTCAGATCAGCTATGTGGTGAGTAGCAATGCCAAAGACAGAATTAACAGAAAAGGTCCTTTATAGAGGTGCATTTGAAGTGTTACAGACAGTTTACATGGAGTTTAAATGTGTAGCTTAAAAAAATCCCTTCAGTGTAGACATCACACAAAGTTCTACTACAGAGGGCCCATCAATGACAGACAGTAAGAGCAGACTATGACATGAGACATAGGTTGTACTTAAGATTTCATATGGGCTTTACACCAGCTTTGAGATTCCTTAATCCTTATGCAGGGTCTGCTTCTGCCTGCAACACTGCCTCAGGCAGCTCTGAACCTCTACCTGCCTGTTCATAAATGGCTACAGCCAGGGATACAGCAGGGCACAGCAGGGGCCTCACAGTTCCTCCTGTATTTAGGTGAAACCTACCCTGGCCAAACGCACTGGCTTTATAGTCGCTTTATGCTGGCAGAAAGAGCTTGCTGCTCAACAAGGAACGGGCCCACTGCTAACTGCAAAATAAAGCATCAGCAATGTGTTAAGTCAGGTTTGGGGTGACACGTAACAAGACTAGAACACTTCTGCACTGGAGTTGGTTGAAAGTTCAGAGAGGACAGGCAGGGTGGACCATCTGTGTAGGCATATCCTTATACCGTTGTTATCCTGAGATACAGTTTTGGCACAAGCAGTGACCAGCCACTGTTTCTAGTGGAGCCATATTTGCAATCAGACATCTCTTACTTGGAAAATGAGAATCATCGACTGAAATGTTTTGCATCATGGCATGGAAATTCAGAAGCACCACCCCCCAGCAACAGAAAACGCTGCCTATATGTTCCAGTGCCCTCTTGATCCCAGGCAGACGTCACTTGCCCTCTGCCAGTCACCGTTCTGAAAGCAGCATCTATTTCCAGAGAGGGAGAGACAGACAGCAGAACAGAGGAACCTTTTGAGGTATTAGTCCAAGCCAGAGTGCCAAGAGCAGCCCTGAAGTCCAAAACGACCACGAGAAATACAGACACTTTCTTTCCCAGCAGGATTAGTTAGCGCTCCACTGCAGACACTGCCAAATGCCACCT